CATTAACATTCGATAATTATACCATCAAAAATTGATATTGTTAGATTATATGAATATTTTAAGGGAAGATGTGTTCAGCAGTTCTCAACAATAATAAAATCATAAATAAATTAGCTGTAATTAGAAGGATAATTAAGAAATTTTGATCCAATGGATTAAAATAAAAATAAGAGGTTGAACTCTAAAAATTCATATTTTTAATTCTAAATATATTTTTTTCCTTGTGACTGTGATTTAGCTAAATCTAACACTTAAAATTGTATATATAAGATTAATTCCTTTGCAATATCAATGAACTCTTAGTCATAAGTAAAATGAGTAGAATGAGGAAAGGATTATCTAAATAAGCAATGTCAACAATAAATTATTTATCATTAAATTTATTTATGCTATTTCGATATCATATATATTTGGGTTGCCTTTGTATCGCCAGGCATATCATTTTTATTAATAGAATCCATGTGTCCAATTATGTTGATAAAAATGAAAATTATTTTATTTATCTCCTTTTTAATCAAAAGTCAAAATGATCAAAAAATTAAATGTATATTTTGCCATTTGTTTCATATTTATTGAACATCCCTATAAAACTAAAAATTTTATAGTTTCTATCTTCATAGAATTTTTAAAGCGATTTTTCGGAAATTTTTATGAAATATTTATAGTGATTTAAAAGCATTTTATTTAACAATTAAAAAGCAAAGCAAAGAAAAGAGTTCATATTTCATTATAGGATACAAGTATAATAAGCAAATAACTACATCTCCTTGTATACATTTATATATATACCATTTGTATTATTGTTTTTGAATTTTTTTCTCTATCACCTTGAAACTTTTATTTGCATCTTGAAATTTAGAAATCACAAACCTCTCCTTTTGTATCTTCTTCATATGAGATAATAAAATTGATTAATACTTCTTTTTATAAAATAATATGATTAAACATGTTTCAATTTATAAAATGATGTATTATAAATTTTATACTTATCTATCCTTATCATGCCCTAGATTATTTAATTTCTGTACAAACTTTATAATTTAGGAT